TAGTTTCAACGATATCAAATCGTTGGGTAGGTAGTCTTCTGAGAGATTCAAACATGGGTCAAGTAAAAAAGAAAAACGGAAGGTACAAAACAACTACCCGAGCAGTGGCGTTGAATATTTAATATTTAAAACAATAATTGTAGTTTCCACAGCCATGATGTTTTGTTTTATTTTTGCGCATAGGTACATATAATTCACGTCAATTCTAACAGAACCCCGTAGAGGTCTCTTGAAAACGAGTCGCGCGGAGAAAGGGAGCTGTCGGTCGAGTCGCTGTCCGGAGGCGGACGATCCGCTTTCACCGACGACGCGTATCTTATGTAAAATCGAATTATAGGCAAATACAACATTAAAATACTGACTGAGCATTCATTCCTACAAAAAAAAGCTCTATTTAACGAGGCATATTTCCTGGGTGCTTTTGTTAATAGTTTGCTGCATTTTGATTTTGAGTAATTATACTTTCAGTTTGTAAATATCTTTATTGATTTTGGTTTCATTATATACTAGCGGCCGCCCGCGACTTCTTACGCGTGGAGTAAGTTAGAAATAAAGGTTCACTGCTCGTTTTCCGTAGGTGATAGCGTGATAATATGTAGTCTATATGTTGACCCGACTTCTTAATAATATTCGTGCCAAATTTGAAGTAAATCCATGCAGTACTTTTTGAGTTTATCCCGGACATACATACAGACAAAAAATCTAAAAACTATATTTTTGGCTTCAGAGACCGACTGTAGATCACATCCCAAGTATTCTTTAAAAAAAAAATTCAATTTACAGTTTTGACTTTCCTACCATTTTATTATATGTATAAATATTGCTGATTCTATACATTCAATTCTAAAAAAAATTATGAAATTGAAAACAAAAAGTAAGAAACTGTTAACGCCATATGCTGGTACCATATTTTTTGACATTTTTATGCAGTAACTAGGTTAGTATTCGCATAATTAATGGTCACTCAAACTTCTTTATCAAAACAGAAAGTATATTTATCCTTGTCATTATCATACACAATGTAAAACGAACGCAATCACTTGGTAACGTGATAATTACCTACACGAGTTGACATTCACGTTATCGTCTAACGTCGTTGACACAAAGACACTGTAATACATAGATAGTTAACTAAATAGGTGATCATCCAATATTTGTTTCTTAGGTTTTCACGCACATCACTCATTAAGTAAAACAGTTTTTACGGGTAATATGCACGTAATTTATTTATTAATTGACGCGAAGAAAGAAGGAGAAGAAGGATGCGAACATCCTTTTCAGGAATGCATCATCGGAAATTAACTAAATAAATTCAGTGCTTAAATAACCCGTAAAACTGTTTTATTTGATCATCCAATAGTTACGTTAATCTAGAATCAGATGTATAAATAAGAAAATTAACAATCTTAACTAAGAATTCTAAGAATCGACTCCAACCGTCGTATTTATAAACAAGAAAAAGACATTACTTCTGCCGAATATTTTTCATTTCATACCTAAAAAATTAATCAAGCAAGAACTGTCAAGAGAGAGAGAGAGTTTGAGAGTGATATTGAATTAACGAATCGAAAATGCCGTCGCAAAACATTCTGTCTCTCTCCCACGTTACTTAGGACAGCATGTGCGAGTGGGACAGAATGTCTTACGTCTTCATTAGCAATTCGTTGTCAAGAAACCATATTTTGTTTTATTGAGGATTATTCTAGTGTTAAATAATGAATAAGTTACTTAGGAACTAAGTAATAACTCAGTAATGTCTTTTAATTGTTTATAACTACGAAGACAACAAAAAAAATCTATTGTATTTTTTCATTTAGAAATTCATTGTTCAGCACGAAACTTAAAATTTCACCATTCAAAAATGTTTTACATTGAACGTCAAAAGCTGTTGTAGGACTAGCCATCGTTTACCCGCATTGAAGACACCCAGGTTTTTAGCTGCGATCTGAGCTAATCAAAGTTGAGGTTAGTCCATGACTTATGTCAAGAAGCTCAAACTTGCCAGTAATTTATTTTAATGTACCTGGGCTTTGAAATAGATCTCTCAATTAACGGGAATGGTAGTTTCTAAACTCCCTTACCTTGATTAGTTCAATTATACTTATATAAGTTATGTACTTCTGTTGACTTCAAATGTCTCATTTATTACTAGATACCAGGTAGTCGTCAAAAGGCCTTTAACATAAAATGTTCTAGATCATTGTGTACTTATTTATTTTATAATCTAATCATGTGTTGTTGCGTGTTAAACTCACAACAATACAATTAGCGTTGATGATAACAAAATGTTTTAGTAAAATGTACTATTTCCCACGCATAGTAGTCGTTTAATTACCAAAGGAGTTTCATTTCATTATTTTGTCCATTTACCTAATTATATATAGTTTATGCACTGTACCCTTAGTACGAGTTTGAGCTCACGAAAACTATCATAGTTTTCGTAATTGTAAATTGTTTTCTATGTCCATTTTGGTGAAAAGTAACCAAATATTCTTAAAATTTAAGAAGACGCAAACGATTTAATGATAGAATTTAAACACTGTTTATTTGTATTGAAACGATAACAATAAAATCAGTACCCTTAGTACGAGTGCGAGCTCACGAAAACTATCATAGTTTTCGTAATTGTAAAACTCGTACTAAGGGTACTGCTCACGCCCCAGCGAAAACTAATTATATAAATAACTCAGTATTACTCTACAAAATACTTCGCTGCAACATTTTGCTAATTTTAGGGATAGAAAATTGTTATGGCTCAATTACATTTGGTCGTTAGCCCGTATTCGGGTGCACGAAAGACATTACTCGAATTCGGGCACCCGAAGCAATATTTGCACTGGAATACGGTGTCGGGTAATCAAAACGAAAACTACCCGATGACACGCTTACTCGACTCCTTTCATTTACACTTAGTCGTTTACCCGAATTCTATTGGCAATCCTATTCGGGCTAACGTCCAAGTGTAATTGAGCCATTAGATTTGCTATGGTTAGGGTACTGTTAACATCCTAAATTTTGAAGTAGAGTAGGGGCACAGAATACATATTAGTACGTGGAGGGATGAATTTTTATAAATGAATATTGTACAATAACCTTGATTAAATAAATAAAAGGTTCTTTGTTGGACTGGTTTTATCCGAATAAGTTTCACCTAAGAGTTTTGACAAATTCTACAGTAAAAAAAAGTTATTCAAGTTATAAAAAAGTGGTAACTGGAAAGCAACATTGTGTTATTGACCTCACACTCAATTAATTATAATGATATTAGAACTGAAGTTGAATTATGTCATGTTTAGTAAACATTCTAATTTACATGTGCCTGATAAGCGATCTAAGTTATAATTGGATTGACATAGGTAAATATTTGCGCAGAAATGATGTGCGTGGTTGAGTGTCAGCTATTCGCATGCACTAGCTGCCAATGTATTGCGCATGTGGTTAATTGGTAATGTGTGTTAATAGGTGATATTAGATAACATTGAATTATCTGCGACCTTGGGGGTCTTAATTTATTTGAAAGCTTAGCATACTCTGCGAAGATTAACTCCTAAGCCCATGTATTTTATGCGTTTGTCATATTGAGCTATGACGTCAGAATCTGTTAACAAAGTCATGTAGTAAATATATGACGTGTGATCTCAGAAGTAAATTCAAAAGTTATTATGTTTTATCACTGAAGTACGACTGCTAAAACTTCCGATAAACCTTCCGTTGTTTAAACATCTTCTTAAAATAATGTTCAAATGTCAAAACAGGAAGTAAACATTTGTTATGTGACTGTCAATGTCGTGTGTGTGCATTGATCAAACCCCCTGTCAATCTTTTATTCGACCGATTTATCTTCGATTTCATTTTGTTATTTCTGACCGCCGGAGATTTTCAAATGCCTCGTGCTCTTTTTTTCTTTTTTCATTGGTAATAACAATATTAAAGAAAATGTTTGTGAGGTATTTGAAAACCTTCGGCAGTCAGAAAATGAAATCGTAAGCGATATCAATAGCCATAGCATTCCCGTTAAGCAATTGGCCCCCAGGTCGCCGTACCTACTTCGGTTCTTATTCAAATTCAATAATCTTTCCTGGTTGCACTGATAATGCGTAGTTGGTGACGTCACCGCCACATATATGCTTATAGTAGTTACTTAATACGTACGATAAATCACTAAACAAAAACAATAATACCTTCGCCGCTAGAAGGAGATATCAGCCACACAGTATTTATATATAAAGGGCCTTGATTAAACAAGTTGCATGCCTGTGATTACATTGATTGCTATATTACTATTCTATATACAGGGTGTGACAAAAGTCCGAAATAAAACTAGGGTTTGGTTGTGTTCCTTGTATAGAATTACTTACGAAAGTTTGACGCCTTTCAGACCACTTTTATTTTCTAATTAAATTAATAAAAATATCGTTTTACACCTGCCTATGACAACCCTGTAAATGCGTACGATTACTACTACCTAAACAGACCCCCCTCTCTCCCCCAGGCGCCCCTGCGCCCCGCTCAGATACCTACAAATTTTTATTTCGGAATACATACCTACAAATTTTATTTCGGAATTCTGTAACACCCTGTATATATATATATATATATACTATGCAATAAAAGTGGCGTATTGATAGGGTTTTGTAATTGGTATTAAATGGAAGTTGGGAAATGCCAACCAGATTTGAAAATTAATAAAAAACCTAGATCAAAAGTCTACACATTTTTTATATATTTATAAGTCATCACGCAACACAAATAAAAATGGGAGCAGTCGCAGGACACCTGGTAAATTTGAAACATCGAAATTTAATTTTTGAAAAAAACATATAAGGTATAAATACTTATGTTAAAAGCCTATATTATACGTATGTTGGAGCCTTAGGATCGAACCGAAATCTTCACTTATAATAACAGTCTCTGCCTGGCCATTAAATGAACGGAGCTCTGCAAACGTTGTCCACATTATACTTAATATACACTGGACTAAGGTACATTATTGTTTGCAGGCGTGCCAGCGAGTTCCGCATAACGTACAGCGATTTGCGCGGAGCCGCCGCGGACGAGACAGACACCTTCGAGCACATCCTCAACGTGACGTCACACAACGACGCGCTCCTGGCGTACTACTACCTCGACAGCGACAACAAGGTACGTACCTACATAATAAATATAACGGCGAAAGTTTGTGAGTGTGTATGTTTGTTACTTCTTCACGTCTAAACGGCTAAGAGAAGATTTTCTTTTTAATCGATAGTGAATAAGCGGTTAGAGCTAAAATCTGTATGCTGGCACAGCACGTGGCTGTTCATATTTGCTTTTTGTCATTTTGACAGCAGGTTGTCCTTACCACGCTTTTTAGGGAAAGAAAGGGAGAGACTGTTACTGTTGTTAAGTTTACAAGTAGCAAATACGAGCAACCATATAAAGTGCCGATATTACAATAATCCACATAAATAAACGTGTTTCTTCACCTTGTATAATAGGAAACCTGTTCGAAGTAATTACGCTCATGTTTCAAGGCAGAAGTCCGGGAAAAGGCATAAAAATTGAGTACGGATTTCCGATAGCATAAATGATGAAGGCTGCATAGCTACAAGGGAAATTGAGTGGAACAAAATTAACCACCAAACAGTCCATCTGTCTTGTTAAGAAACAAGACAGCTCAACCGTGCAGTGCAGTCTGTGAAAGCTTCATTATGACAACGGCTAACTAGAGCCGAGGTTCGAGTTTCAGAGACGCCCTCTAGTTGAGCCGACCCCCTCAGATTCGAGTGGTCTAGAGGCTCCAAACAGAGAGGAGACTCCCCCCGTGTGGAGATGCCATCAGCCTAGAATACCTCTAGAGGCACTCGCCAATTCTCGGCTTGAGTTGTCCTTAGGATCTCGCTGTCCCCAAAACCGGTGACGCTGTAAAGGTCGACTGCAACCAACAGCATACACACTAAAAAAAACATAATAAGTTCATTTATTTCTGAAATAGGCTACTTGACACTTTTTTGAAATGTGTTTTAAATGGATTGTTCTATTACACCGAAAAAAAATGTATTTTTTTTTACCTAGAAAGCTACAAAACTTTAATTTTAAAATATTTTTTTCATGGACATACAAAAACTCTGTCGGCCATTTTAGTCTATAGATTATCTATGCTATGACGTCAACAAAATCGTAAACAAACCTAAATTAATATTATAAAACCATGCTTTCTAATAGATTTCTTGATAAATATAATAATTATCATGATTGTATTATGCGAGAATGTAGAAACACATCGTTAAAGAAAAGTTGTTGTTTAAATTCCCTAGAGAAATACACATACTTACACATGAACACAGTCATGTTTAAAACTCGCTAAATCCTGTAATTTTACCGTCTGAAAGTCTTTTCTTTTAGCAAAGATTACTTTTATATGAGTACTCATTGAATAATATTTAAAGTTTATAAATACAATTTTAAAGGTTATGAATGTACCTACTAAGTCAAAGAGTTTTGTCGTTTCTGCTTTCACAAATCCAGCGTCCAGCATTAATTTAGTCAACAAAACCAATAAACGGATTTTTTTCTACAAGGTGTAGGAGTTTTTAGATATATTTTAGTCCGATGAAAGGCACCACAGTAACACGACAATGACGTTTAGTTGTTTACTAACACATTTACTAACTTGTTGATGTCACAATCATAGCGGAAAGCGTTTTGAGTGTTTAAAAAGCATAGGCTAAAAAACCATTTTTCCAATTAAATTACTACAGCCATCTTCTAATTTTATAAAGTGAAATCTATGTATTTAAGTTCCTTTATACCAAACATTATAAGAAATAAACATTAGTATAGTGCAATTTGACATGAGTCAACTAACTTAAGGAGCGTTTCTCATATATTAAAACTAAAAATATACCTTATTATGCAACGAAATTAGGTGTAAAATGCTAAAAAACTTACCTCGTCTGACGTTATCTTAGGCGTTGGAGGAGCCTGGGTCACGCCACTGTGACGTCACGCTCGCGCGATTGTACGACACAAGCGGGCTCCCACATGGGTTATCAATATTGTTTGAAATTATTCTTTTTGTAGATAATACTTTTTATTTACTTGAGCCAATTTGAAATTATTTCGAAATCTAAGTACCTACCTATATAATAAAAGTCGTGTGGTATTCTTTTCAAGTAAACATTCTCTTAAATTTATTATAATAATTTTATATGTTTTACATGCAAATGCAAAGAGAGTGGCCCAAATTAATAATAGCGTATGGCCTGATGGTAAGTGGCCACCTAAATACCTTCAATCCTTTACACCTTGGAGTCCAGACAATATTTCACTAATAAGTCTTCTGTAAGGTGACAAATAACACTCTTTAATAAAACTAGTTTTTACGGGTTAATGCACGAAACTTTATTTATTTATTGACGTTTCGTAGCCTTTACAGGCTACGTCGTCAGAATCAAACTTTTATTTAATTTGTCGAACTACCTTCGAAAGGCTTTTATTGAGCGTTCGGTTATTTCATTGTTCGATTTTTAAAGTTTTATTGTCTATGTATGAATTCATTATTTAATTTACTCAATAAAGTATTTTAGATTTTATTTTAGATTATTTTAGACCTTTCTGAGAAGAACCGGCGAAACAAACTCAAGAGCGGCTTTCTATCTCCTTCTTATGTTAAATTATGCAAACAAAAAGAACTAATAGTATCTGTTGGTCTTGCAGTGTGTGCTCGGGGTTGGGATTTTATCTCCTGTATAATGGGTTCCCAAGCTGGTGGTATATACCAACCATCTTCCCTATTGAAATTTGGATATTTTTTAATCTCAATAGCCTCGCGCATCATTCTAGGAACGAATCGCTGCTCAGTTGCAAGGATCTGTGGTTTATCAAATGTAATGTAATGGTTTGGTCCCCTTAATGCATGTTTAACCGGTAAAAACTAGTTTTATTTAATGAGTGATGTGCGTGAAAACCTAAGAAACAAATACACTCTTTAATGTTGTTAGACTCACATCTCCACCACCATAAAAGGTGCAAAGCTGAGTATTCAACAATAAAAGTAAATACTTACAACAGCTGCATAAATTCATATTGTTTTTCATATTTCGTGGCATTGTGCGTTACAGATCAAAATTAATTAAAACTTTTGTTTTCGTCTGATGTTTCTGCATTTAAATAATATTTTATTTGCTTTTCTATCATAATCATAACCTAGGATTTAGTAAATCTAAAAGTATTGTAGAGTTACAAATAAAATTTGTACGAGGTCCCTACATGCAAATACGGTTAGTTACGACTGTATAGTTTTTCAAAAAATGTTTTTATGCGATATAGTCCTGATTTTATCTAGTGTTCTATCTCTATATGTATGCATAGATATAGTATGGATATAACAAATTGCTGTAAGAATTAGAAGAAGGAAATATATAAGGATCCGATATAATGCAATAAATAAATGATAACTTTATCGTAGTATCCATGACTCCTCTGATTAATGCAGTGATGGCCTAATAAATTCCTTTGTTTCTTTTGGCGATACCACATTTTGCATTTTGACCTTCGCTCTGTGAGTGACATCACACGCAGATGTTCCTTACGGAAACGTACCAGTTAATATGACGGTGCCACTGTGAAGCCCTTATTTTAAATTATTTGCCTGTTCGGTATTTTGTATTTCAGTAACTATTTTATTTTTTTATGAAACTCAGGTTGTTAACTTATCAATATTTTAACGCACGCCAAATTAATGACATTATAGATGGTGGAATATTTATTGATTAATCTAATCAAGCTTTTAGATGATTTAATTTTGACACTTCGCAATATATTATATACCTACCATCTTTTGCACAAATATTGCATAATATATAGTTTGACAATTAAAAAACCGGCCAAGTGGTTCCGTAGTTGCTCGTTGTCACTACAATATATTTTGGAACGAGTCTATATTTAAAGAAATTAATATGTCTAAGTCACTTTTAATGTTTTCTTCTAAAGAATTTTTATTAGGTCAGAAATTTTCTAATACAGAAGTTAAAAGCTTTTAAGGTGAAAAAAAAAACATCTCTAGGTTACACGTCCCCTACGTGTAACCTAGAGATGTTTTTTTTTCATAAAAAAAGCTTTCAACTTCTGTATTAGAAAATTTCTGACCTAATAAAAATTCTTTAGAAGAAAACATTAATTACTACCCTACCTCTAATTCTTTAGAAGAAAACATTAATTACTAATTTACTACCCTAAAAATAGTTTTCAAAATTTCGTTCTACCATTTTGTCGGCATGATTGATATACATATCTCCACAAAATTACAGCTCTTTAATGCTAAAATTCTTCAAGGAAAACCGGGGACAGACAGACAGAAGGACATGACTAAACTATAAGGCTTCCTTGTCATGACTGCGGAACCCTAAAACATGATAACAATCGACTCGAGAAGTCATAATGTTCCTTATATCCCGTTCCAATCTATCTTTGTCTAAAATTTACCAACTGCGTCGTATAATAAATGAGCTTCTGACTCATACTAAAGAGTGGTGTGACACAGTGTTATTGAAAAAATAACTTGTTTGTGCACCAAAATAGACGTTATTAACCAGTGCGACTTTCATACAGTCAAATATAAACATATCATTTTTAATGAATATACATAATATATAAATATATCGGTACCTAACGTGACAATTTGGGGTACTTGTCTTTTTTTGTTTGTTTAAGTGTCCTCTACCCATATATCCACTTGTCTCGTGCTCCTCGATATCGAATAGAAAACAAAATGGCGACGAGTCGATAGGCCAGAACCGTTCTATGCCCTTTGCTTATTTTTAAACTTTAAAGTTAGCGTGCTTACTAAAGCCAATAGCTTATATTTGTCAATTGACGACCTCCGTGGCCGAGTGGTTTATACGCCGGGTTTCGTGGTGTCGCCGTCTCGAGAGGTCCCGTGTTCAATTCCCAGTGGGGGCAGACGTTTGTGTGATGAATAGGAGCATTTTTACTCCAGTCATGGATATATAATATGTATTTCTACATAAATATACTTATATAATTATGTACAGTAGTGATGTAACGAATATTCGCATTGTAATTCGCAAAATCTATTCGCGAATGTTTTACGAATATGAATATTAGAAAAAAACAATTTGAAGAAGTTGTAGTTCTTTCTTTCCTTGAATATTCATTGTTACACAGCTTGCTTTTAACTCATTCAGCATCGCAAAGTGTGAAATATGTCCATATTTCACTAAAATTTGATTTACTCATGTTAATAAATCACTATCCCAATTCTAACCTCAAAATTCACTTGTTTTGTGTACGAAAAGACCTGCGCGATCGGAATGACACTTCAGTCGGATGAGTTCATATCAACTCGGCAATTCGAACGAGAATGCCACCATGCCATAGACAATTGGCCCCAATTTTGAACAAAAACTAAATATTCGCATTCGCGCATGTCGGCACTAGATATTCGCATCCGCATTCGTTACATCACTAATGTACAGTATATGTATTCTATCCGTTACCCTAGTATCCCATAACACAATCATTAAAGTGCTTTTACTTCGGGCCTAGGCTAATGAGGGTTTTCTGAAATGACGGCCACCAGGTGGCAGTACTGAGACGCAGGGTCTACTCATCCGTCAAATCGCCTATGTTCTCATAGTCTATGGATCTGGTCTATGTAGTTCGCGCCAAAAACTTCATACAAAAGACCTCAGGTCAAAGTGGCGCCAACTGGTGACGTAATTTTTTACAAACACCCTGATTGGTGTGAGTGTTGGAAATATTTATTATTATTATTAAGCCCCCGGGTCCTCTTATAATGATTCTCCGGTTATCAGATGAAGATGACGGAGATATACGATGTGACGGACGCGGACACGGAGGCGGTGCAGTCGCAGACGGAGCGCGACCTCAACAAGCAGCTGGAGTTCGACAACGACTGGACAGCGGACCTTATTGCCGACAACGGTAACTATCAACCGCATTCACGAATATTACCATTGTTTACAGTTAAGCACCTTTCGCATAGATAAATACAATAATAAATATAAGCGGCAGTGGCCGGTGATTGGATGGGAGACCAGAAACTTATTGTCTGTAGCTCCTCCTTGCTTCGGAAGGCACGTTAAGCCGTTGGTACCAGCTGCATAGGCACTCACCAATCGCACTGGACCCAGGTGGTGGCTCCTGTTCCAATCTTCCTATGTCATCCATAGGGAAAGCCTGTGCCCCGGCAGTAAGGACATTTATAGGCTGATAATGATGTTGATTTAGATCATCACCCTTTTTTTCCGGGCGATCATTGACCATTACGCCACCGAAACTAGTGTTTCCTTAGCTGCAAGGACCTTCTCTTTCTTTACATTGTAATCAATGTCAATAGTCAAACAAATGGAATAGAAATAGCAACGATATGTTATTGCGGGTTTCGTCAGCGAACATGCACCGTTCCATTACCAGTACCCTTAGTACGAGTTTTACAATTACGAAAACTATGATAGTTTTCGTGAGCTCGCACTCGTACTAAGGGTACTGATTTTATTGTTATCGTTTCAATACAAATAAACAGTGTTTAAATTCTATCATTAAATCGTTTGCGTCTTCTTAAATTTTAAGAATATTTGGTTACTTTTCACCAAAATGGATATAGAAAACAATTTACAATTACGAAAACTATGATAGTTTTCGTGAGCTCAAACTCGTACTAAGGGTACAGTACCCTTAGCACGAACCAATATCGAATTCGAATACGTACTTGAATTCGATCTAGATATGCGGCAAATAGCAAGAAGTTTGGTATCGAAGATTTTTAATTGATGATATTTGACGCGTATCGAGATCGGATTCAACTATTCGAATTAGATATTGGTTCGTGCTAATGATACAGAAGATAACACTGCTTCCGTTCAACAGACGATCTGGACTACCAGGGCATAGAGGATGAGGTCGGCGCGGACGAGGAATTCTCCGACCGCAACATATTCTCCGACCCGGAGAGCGAGTGGAGGGAGCGCTGCGATTCCGACAGCTCCGACTCCGACACGGAGTCCGACCGCCATCTGGCGATCCGACACTGAACTGATCACTGAACTAGCTAAAGAACAAGTACGTGACCACTCCCTCTGTTTTTACGCAAACAACCGCAACATATTATATATCTGGAGTGCGAGTGGAGGGAGCGCCGCGATTTTGACAGCTCCGATCCCGACCGTCATTTAGCGATCCGACATTGAACTACTATCAACTGTTAACTGATCTATCATTTGAAACAAGTTGCTGACCACTCCCGGTGTTTTGACGCAAATATCCGCCACTTATTCTCGGATTCGGAGAGCGAGTGGAGGAAGCGCCGCGATTTTGACAGCTCCGATTCCGACCGTCATTAGCGATCCGACATTGAACTACTATCAACTGTTAACTGAGCCATCATTTGAAACAAGTTGCTGACCACTCCCGGTGTTTTGACGCAAACATCCTCAACATATTCTCTGACCCGGAAAGCGAGTGAAGAGAGCGCCGCGATTCCGACCGCCATTCAGCGATCCGAGACTGAATTATCATCTACGTTAACTGAACTACCATTTGAAACAAGTACCTCATCATACCTGCTCTTTCTGTTATGGAAACAATTAAGCCTTGTTCCGACCGCCCGCTCGCGACTGAGATTAACAAATTGTGAAAACTCAAACAAGCCTTTTACTTTAAAGTAAAAGAAGAAAATATCTTCACCGATTGATTCTTCTTATAGCACAAGCATTCTGGAAATGACAAGATTTTCGTATACCGCAGATGCGCATACGGCCTTGCGATTTACATTGATATCTTCAAACCGCGATGCAAAAAAAGGAATTTTGATGTTGTTAAGTTTTAAAGTTATTTAACAATGTAGGCGCTGCACCGACCGATTTTTATTTAGATGCGTGCGACCGATTTGTCGGTAGTTTGTTATCGGTAGTTGTTATTGAAAATCTTTGGATATTGTTGTAATCTATCAATGGTGGACCCGATAGCCCACATTAGATTAATTGTACAGGCAACATCACATCTATTTTGAATTCTGTGTAAACCTATTTTGGTGAAAAGAAATTTAACAGTGTTGTATAACCGGAGGTGCTATTGATTGTACTTACTTACGGTACGTGATGTATTAGTTAGTATGTTAAATCTATTTGATAATCTTAAAAATGTTATTTCTCTTTAAAAATACAGGAATATAAATGTATGTGTTGTAGTTCAGACGTTTAGCAATAGAACGGCCAGTTTTAATAATTCCAGCTCCAAACTCCCGTAAGAGATAGACGTACTAGAGCTAAGTTGCCAAGATATTTTTAATATTTAGATTGAAATAAAAGCTGTTTCTAAAGGCGAAATCAGAATAAGTTTACCTTTTACTGAAAGTTGATATTGAAACTGGCCGTAAAATGACTTGTCAGGTAATACTTTTTTTGTGTTCAGTGGTCCTTTTAGCTGTTTGATTATTTAGGTAACACAAATACCATGATACTGAGCATACCTATATTTTGTGTATTTGTAACTGATGGCGTAATAAAAAAAATATATTTGTAATTGTTGTTGTTGGAAATACTAATCAAGGAAACAATAACTATTAAAACTGTTTTAATTTATTTTTAACAGTAAAGTTGGCTTTTCGGCATAATTTGCTTATCACAATTAATTTAACGTTAATCCTGAAACGGGAATCATTCTTTTTAAAATGTACTTAATGCAAGACAGAATACAAGATACCTGATTGCGCCAAAGATTTTATATTTTCTAATCTGTTGAAAATATATAAATCTTAGACTCCAGACAGAAAAGGGAATTTGTTATTATTATATCACTTATCGAATGTGAATATTGTTTGCCAAATATTTTCTTTACTCACTTTTTTATAATACTTACCTAAATAATTTTCTGGACGATATTATAGTCCAACAGGTTTTTTTTCGCTGTAATTGAGTATAAGAATGAGTGAAGTAAATGTTAGATTACAAAATGACAATTTGTCAATGTTACCATTAGTTACAGGGAAAATATATTAAAAATGTTATAACGCATACAAATGGTTTATCACTACGTTATTTATTTTTAAAATAGGACTAGGTCATGAATATTCACAGATATTATCTTTTTTTCTAGGTTATTTTATGAAATAATTTGTTTAGTAATTTTTAAATGATTACCGCTGTATTTTATAACTGTATATCACAAGTTATAATGGTTAATACTTATATATATCTTCTGTATGCAATAGTCAGTTAAAACAGTTTTCTGACCGTCTGTTTATCACTCGTAGGCCATAATCGCTTGAGGCCAACCCTTAAAATAGGAGAAAAATTCTACAAACTTTTGGCATAAGTGCAAGCAAATTAAGACTTACAAGTTCGCCAAATTGTTGACAGTTGTAGACAAAGCCGAGAAAAGACTACATTAAAATACAAATATTAGTATATTAAAGCAAAACATAATTATTAAGCGCTCTTATAACAATGAAGCTTAATTGATATACAAGGAGTTCCCACAAAAATCTGTGTGCCAGCCAACTAAGACCACAACTACATACTTTAAAAAAATAACGATTATGTTCTAGGGAAGTTGCCGTATTGTTACCTACTCAATATAGTTACCTGTTTAATATTTAAGGAATGTCAGTTAAATATCAAATATGTAAATGAAAATACTTGCATTTACACAAAAAAAAATATTATGGGTGAAGAACCTGTGAAACATTAATTATTGCGTGTTCACCTAATACCTATTTTATATACTTCAATATTTTGTTATTTATACGATGCTAAATATATATTTAGAAAGACAACTTTATTTGGTCTATGTTTACAATTTGAAAAATACTCATTGTTTTTGTAAATTAATCCAAATAAAACACAGGTTCAGTAAGACATTTAAGTTGATGCTTCCATTAAAGTTAAATTTGCAATATTTTTCAAGGTTAGTCAATTGTTATTGTGTTGAGTTAATCCATATTAATATTATAAATACCGCACCAAAAACCGCTGAACAGATTTTGATGTATTTTGCTATTAAACAAGGCCTGCCTAGTAAGAAGAAAAATATATTAGTAAGGACATTTCGCCGATGTAATAATTGAAGGTACGTCCAGTCCTTAATTAAGGGTTAATAAAAATTGCCGAAATATGCTGATGCGAATTTTGTTCGTGTTTTAGATATATCATTTGCTCTATCTATACCTTATCTATACAATATTAGTTTTGTACAATCACGTGTAAAAATATTTATATTCATATAAGATATCGTGTGCCTTATTCCGTTATAAGAAGAGTTAAACGTGTATTTATATTTTTACACATGACGTTGTAGTTTTATATAAGTTGATGTCACAAATACTATAATGTTTTAATTTTTAATAAACTGTCTAAATAATAATTGTTATGTTTTATTTATATTTCAAATTGAAATTCTAATAATGGCATGAATTTGGTGCAATTTCATTGGAAACTGCAATCGCATTTTAAGGAGTTGGCGAAAAGGCGCAAGTATCTATATTTTGAACCTAAATAACGGATAATTAGGTTCAGAATATAGATACTTGCTAAAATACGGAGATATAATGCTCAAAATGAAAATATAAAATATATTTTAAATAAAATCGGATTGGATAGGAGTTTTAGCGTCATGCGTGCCCCGCTCGTTAGGAGTCGCCAGCTTGTACTACCTATAGTACTTACTAAAAAAAAATTGCGTCTGGTCAGAAAATGCACTTTATAGACATAAATCTCTTTAATTTTTATCAACTATCCTTTCCGATGTTTGCAATTTTTTTACAGCAATTTTTTATAAATATTTTTTTCTAAGAATAACCTAAGATAAGAAAACATAACAAAAGAAATAAAATAAAAATAGCTGGTAACAAATGAAGCCGCGGGCTGCTGAAGGACTTTTACGTGTACACATTTATGTAGGTTTCACTTCTATCGCATGTGAACAGCACAATATATCTTGTGTGTGAGTAAAGGTATCCGCTGCGTTAAGCGGGAACACGGAGCAGACGTCCGCTACGCGTGCAGTTTCATTTAATACATAGAACAGCGCTGCGTGAGACGGGTCTCCTGTTGTGTGCAAGGGTCAAGGGTCAGTACTTACTACCACGGACGAAGGTTTTTTTTTAAATATTGTTAAAAAGGTGGCCAACAAGCGTGTGCACCATCTGATGGTAAGCGGCCACCATAGCCTTACCGGTAGACGTTTGCGGCATCAAAAATATCACTCGCACTGTTGTCTACTCTGAACCAATCTACTACCCGACAGGAACACAATACCACCAAAAGGTCGTGTTATTTTACTGTGTTCTTCTGTAAGGTGGAGGTTACTTCCCCAGGCGGGCGCACCAATTCAAGCGGAAAATCCGCTATACCCTTTTCTAATACTCGGTCTGTGGCCACTGCAGTTAGTGTAGACCAGTGGTGGGCAAAGTACGGTGCGCGGGCCACATCCGGCCCGCCGACGGGTTTTCAATTTGGATATTATATGGTCTGAAAAAAAAAATCGAAGACTGGATGTTAAAAAGTAGTTATAAAAGTTGACATATGACTGTTAGTCATATGTCAATTTCAACCCTTAAGGTCTTCCTAATACCCGCCATACACACTACGATAAATCGTTACGATTAGACTGTACAGTCCGAACGGTACCGATAAATCGTAGCGTGTATGTTATAAAACTGCACAGTTTCCTATACTAAACGAAATCGTATAAACTGTATCGTTTGAACTGTACAGTCTGATCGTAACGATTTCTCGTAGTGTGTATGGCGGGTATTAAGAATTTCATAAATTTTATGGCCCGCCATTCAAAAAGTTTGCCCACCACTGGTGTAGACGAACCTACTTGCAAATTCACCAACTACTATCTGGCACATCTATGCATAAAGTAGGTAAATTACTCAATGCCGTCAGTGTCATTTCGGTTCTATTTTTAAACACTGCCAGTTTTTGAGTTATTATTCCAACCAAATCAATTATTTATTGTATTAGAAATTTTTTTGACCGTCAAAAAGCGTTCGTGAGCCCGATCAGCTCTCGACTGTGAAAGTTTTTGATGGTGTACATATTTATTTTATCGAAATGGTTAATAAAGGTGTAGAACCGAAAAGCAGTCGTATATTCCACCAATGTTACCTGAAGTGTTGCAAACTGCAAAACTTGACGCCACTCAACAACGTTATACCTTCGGGAAATGGCAAAGTGCTGGATTTCTGTGTGGATCGGATAAAGTATGCGGACTGGCCGCCTATTCTCAATGCCCTCAGTTGCGACCTCAGTTTGCATTCAGTCTCCATAAAGTGCAGGCAGCAAGTTAAAACTGGTACGTATTTTGAGATTTTCTTTTTTTATTTGCATACGAGCCGGGTCAGCTGCAATACCAGGAGTATCACAAATGCGATGCCGGCCTACCCTTTTATTTTTTTTGAAGGTTTTCGGGTCGTACTTATTGATCCGGAAACATTGTGATCAATAAAATTTATTTATTACCTTTTTTAACTACATAGTTGCCATGTAGAACTATCATTTTTTAATTCGTTAATCTGAACTATAATTATGTTTGTTTCTTAGGTTTTCACGCACATCACTCATTAAATAAAACTAGTTTTTACGGGTTAATGCACGAAAACTTTATTTATTTATTGACGTTTCGCAGCCTTTTCAGGTCTGCATCGTCAGAATAAATAACAACTGACGATGCAGACCTGAAAAGGCTGCGAAACGTCAATAAATAAATAAAGTTTTCGTGCATTAACCCGTAAAAACTAGTTTTATATAATTATGTTTGCACGTTTTTGTGCCAATAGTACAGCATCGTTACTAGTAACGAAGGCAATGATTGGTATGGCGCAATACTAAAGTTGCTAATCATCTGGAATTGGTTATATATATGGGGGTTATCCAAACTTACTAAATATGATTTATTTATATTCTTAATAAGATCTTATAATTATATTTTTTTATTTTTCAAGTTATACTTCTTTAGGCGCGTTATGTAAAAATGATGATAGTGAAATTTTAAGATGCGCGCGCATCACTGTAACACAAAAAAGTAACAGCCTAAACTCGCTAAAGCGACCAACTTCATACTGTTACTTTTGTGTTTACCGCACATTAAGAAAATCTACCAACAAAATAGAATTAGAATCTCTATTTAGTGGGTGCTAACAACTGCATTGTGAAGGCCTATCAAAAGTATTTATTAATCTGGAACAACGGAACCAAAGCGCGATTCAGGAGACTACAGCGCCATCTCTTGACCATTGGTGTAGTAGAACCAAAAACCACATCTTTATTTTTGTAATAAAGTAACAGTTATAGGTATTCATATTTATAATATTTATCCACATGTTTCTAGTTTGTATATTCGGAATACGTGTTTGAGTTTCATACAAGTGCAAATCACATATGTTCTAATAAATTATATTCAGTAGCGATTTTTATTGAATATTTAGATTATTTATTTATTTTTTCAAATTAAAACTGAACTTTATTGACTGTGTCCTTTTCCAGACTTTTTATTAATTTATTGTAATTAATTTTTTGCATGCAATTAAAAACTAATTTTAAACGATGCCAAAGAAGGATAACTTCTCACGCGCCTACATAAGTACACGCACCCATTTTTTTTAAAGTATGTAACTGCTTGATGTTTAAATATAAAGAAAATATAACTAGAAAAAAATCCACGCGGACCAGGCAGCAGACGGGACACGAAACCGCACCCTTCGCAATCCGGGCGAATGCACTGACCAATTATGCTACCGCGGCCCTCACGGACCGCTTATAATTAAATTTGTTATACATGAAGATCTTATAATTTGTAGAACAGTCAATATGCTATATTCGCTTTAGATTGACCCCAATACAATGTATGAGATCACGTGATATAATCCTAAAAATCATACGAGCGAGAATGAGTTTGTTCATAAAGTTTCCTTTAAGCCTGAATCGATTATTATGAATTTAGTATAGAGATAGATTAGACCCAGTTTGTATTTGAAACCAAACAGAGACGACGACGTCCACAGAGACGAAGACTCTGGCACCCGCTAGTATTATATAATATTTAACTTTACAGCTTATTAAGAGAAGACTAATTTTTAAACCATTCGATTGTAATAATAAATATAATTTCCACTTCAGTACTCGAGCAAATAGACTGCGAGAGACTCGCGAAGACAGTGAACAAGCGTGCCGTGATTCTCACCAACTTTATGCTGACCAACTTGGTGGAGGCGATCGCGCAGCTGCTCGCCAACACCACGCTACTAACTTCACTGCTGCTAGACGGGCTGCCTCTCAGGATACCCTACTTGAACCCGTTGTATGAGGTTGTAAAACATTTTTGAGTATAAATACTACACATCTGTTTATTGATGTTTGTACGACAGTATGATTGATATGATACACATTTTATGTTTATGCCGCTGACACTTTGTACCTGTCCACATCTCCACGTCTCGACAGGTCACCAAGTTTATTCAATACTAGGTACATAAGTCTGATTTCGATTTTAAGCTTTAAACTCCACTGTTAAGGTTGAAAATTGTTAGAAATTTTGGTATGTACACATAGCAGCTCTATTTCACACATATTTTTAAATTACTTCCATGTAAGCATGTATTATAAAGATTACCTAAGCGTAAGTTTTGACCAAACTTAAGAAAAGTGATTGACGTCTCTGAATGTACGCGGCTGTAAAAAAGAAGTCTAATAATTTGGTGACATTTCCAGGCTCTACTAACGAATGGTTCCCTCCAACACCTGTACCTGCCCCATACACTGATCAACGACGCTGGCTGCTTGGCCGTCTGCAAGGCTGTGAGGTGTCTCCCTAATATTCTCACTCTGGACCTCTCGGGATGTGAACTCACGAGTCTTGGTGCGGGGCACATTGCCGATTTAGTTAAGGTACCTAGGATTAATAACATACAAGTTAAGTATAAAAAAAGAAATTATTCGTAAGCAATAATATACCTAAAGTGTGGTAACATAGAAGATGTCTAAGTACGTACCGTACTTGCTTTGTGTATCAAGGCTGGAATAGGACCATTCTTTTCGCGTTTTCTTATTAACCCTATGATTCTACGCATGTCTAACGAGTTAGGAGACGATATTCAAACTAATACTACTTGTACCTAAGTATAATCCGTTTATAATCTGAGCTATGCAGCGAATTGAGCGACTCCAACGGGCGAGCCTACCTACCTGTCACCGCTGACCAGGCCCATTCTCTGCACCTCGCTTCACCGGCACCAAATCCCTCCACCTTTATGGCAGACCCTCATCCTGCCCCGCCCCCTCCCACCAGGGTGTTACTCGCAGAACCAGGGCTAGGGGAAACAGTGCTCCCCGTGGCAGTTTGGCTGGGTCTGCTATCGGGCGCGTCCTCTCGGGTGGCGGATGGGAGGTACCGGCTTCGGCCGGCGTGGACCATACCCAGCTGTGGAGACCTGGCTGGCGTCCTGGGTATCCCGGGTAGCGGCAGTCGGGTCAAACTCGTAACCCTGCACATAGTGCGGGGCCGAGGGCCGCCGTCTGCAAAGGAACTGTTTCCTTTGGAGGCGGGGGCTGCGAGGAAGACAACCTCTCTAAAAAATTACCCGGTGGTGGTCTCGGCTGGCGCCCTGGGTATCCCGGGTAGCGGCAGTCGAGTCAAGCTCGTAACCCTGCACATAGTGCGGGGCCGAGGGCCGCCGTCTGCAAAGATACTGTTTCCTTTGGAGGCGGGGGCTGCGAGGAAGACAACCTCTCTAAAAAATCACCCGAGGGGTCTCTCGGCCGGCGCCCTGGGTAGCCCGGGTAGCGGTGGTCGAGACTCCATAGGTTGAGGCGGAAACGCCATTGGTGAGGGCGGTTGCGGCGCGAACTCCGCGTTGCTTCCGGCCAACCCGTAACCCCGCACGTGGTGTGGGGCCGGGGGCCGCCTTCCTTCGGGGCGGGGGCTGCAAGGAAGAAAACCTTTTCAAAAATTACCTTTTGATGAGGCCAGGTAGGGTTCCCTCGCCCGGAAGAGGGAAAAACTTAATGTAATGTCGGACAATGGTTTATATTTGTCCTGCGATCCCGCTGACACCGGGCGCCCTGGGGAAGCTCCTACCCAGGGTGTGAAATTTGCTAGCAGCGGCCTATGCGCTCCGGTTGGCCACCGGCGCCAGGGGGATTCCGGTACCCCTGGTGTTAAATTAGCTACCGAGGCGTTTGGAGGAGAGGTTCTAAGGTTGAGGGGCGGGGCGGATGAGGGCAAGGATATAACACCCTCCCCTGCCAAAGTACATACGGCCCGACGGGGCAAGAGAAGTGCAGCGGCTTCTACTAGACTGACGACAACAAGTGGTAAGCCAGAACCACCGACCATAGACGACGAGGAGAAGTCTGAAGATAATCGCTCATGGAAGGAGGTGAGCGATGACACTATGGATATAATTCAGGGAGTGGTAGATGCGGTCAACGACGCCAGGGATGCCAAAGAGTTGAAAAAGCCTCAATACGGCAAGATTCTTGACAGCCTTGAGGCACTGGATGCGAGCCTGAATTACATCTTCAGTAGGGCTAGTGCGGAAAGCTCCTATTTTGAGAGAGCTCGCCGGTACCGGAATGAGAGAGATCGATGCAGGGAGAGGCTGGAGGATGCGGACGCTGAAATGAGTCGGCTTCGCACACAGAACTCCGCTCTGGCGAGAGAAGTGGAGGAGATGCGGGTCCTCCACGAAAAGGTGATGGGTGAAGGCAGGCCTGATAAACTGAAATGGAAAGAGGTCGTCGAGGAATTGAAAGGCTCGCTTATATCTTCTATAAGCGAGATGGTCAATACTCGGCTGGCCTCCATAGAGGAAAGGTTGCCGCCAAGGGAACAGGCTTCAGAGCCTCCCCGGGCGGATACAATGAAGAAACCGGCAACCCAGCCGATTAAGAAAACGACTGCGGACTCACAAGAGTCATGGAGTGTGGTGGTACGACGGGGAAAGAGCAGGAAGACTCCGGTATCTGCCGCAGTGTCAACACAAGACACGCAGCTGGAATCGGCCAAGGTGCGTGGGAAAGGGCGGGAGGATCGTCAGCGCCCCCCTCTGAAGCTGAAGACACCGACGACGGCGGCCATCACGCTGAAGCTAACAGCGGAGGCCGCAAAGAAGGGCATCACCCTCCAGAAGGTGATGGAGAAGGCAAGGAGTGATATCTCCTTGCCTGACGTTGGTATAGCGGGTGGCCTGACCATTAAGGCGAGTCAGACCGGGGACAAGCTGCTGCTGGTTCCTGGGCCTGACAGTGGGACGAAGGCCGACACCCTAGCAGCGCGCCTTCGAGAAGTGGTGGCGGGCCTCGCTGAGGTGGGAAGGCCGGAGAAGATGGCGGGCCTACGGGTGTCTGGCCTCGAAGACTCCGCAACGATGGCGGATGTCATCGAGGCGGTGTCGAGTAAGGGTGGTTGTCCCACCAATCTGGTGACCGCTTCGGAACTGCGTCCCGGCCCGGGGGGCATGGGGCTAACGGTAGTGCGGTGCCCAATTGGCATCGCAAAGAAAGTGGTAGTTGGCGGCGTGCTCCGGGTGGGCTGGTGCGCCGCACAGGTGCGACTCCTGGGCCCCCTTCCTATGCGCTGCTTCAGGTGCATGGGCAGGGGGCACACCTGCCGACAGTGCCCATCTGAGCACGACCGAAGCCAGGCGTGCTTCTGGTGTGGGCAGCAGGGACACAAGGCGGCGGAATGCGCTGCCGAACCCTGCTGCGCCATATGTAAGGAGAGTGGTTTGCCGGCCGACCACGTAATGGGGAAGGGGAGGTGTGACCCGCCGGTCACCAAGGGCAAACCCCCCGAGAGAGTGGCCTCTGAGTCGGCGCCTGCACGGGCGCCCTCAGAGGGGGGGATGTCCGAGTAGCCTCGGCCGCTCGAACCCCCCCACGAATGCTGTCGCCCGCCTTTCCCCCCTCTTCTCCTAGGAGAAGACGCGGGGAGACGGGGGCGACCGGGAGGGGTGAGAGGGACGGGAAGATATACGCTTCCCCTCCCGTTCCCCCTCCCAGGAACGGCGCCCCCCCCCACTCGTAGTTCTGTCCTACAAAGGGGGGGCGGCGGAGGGTTCTTGGACGGGTATGCCCAGGAGTCCCCTCCGCAGCGGATGGGGGGCGGTACGGTGGGCAGTAGGCCGCGTACCCAGCCCCCACGCGCGGGCCTACCTGCGCACGTCTGCGGGGTCCCCGTAATACCGCGGGAGACCCCTGCCGTGGAGCCCCGGCAAGGCCGGGAAGCTGCTGGGGGCGGAGCCGTGGTAGAATCCCTAACGGGGACCCTGCGGCTCCGCACTAAGCAGTTAGAAGGTATTCGCAGGACTTTTTTAGCGGATATTATGCTGTAAAGCGCCCGTAAGAGTTGCGGGGTCCTCGGTGGTTAGCCACCGGGGGTCCGTAAGACTTGCGGGAGCCAGGTGTGAGGTCCGTTCGGCGGTGTGCCTCTTAAAGGCGCCGTCGTCTGTAAAAAGATTTTAAACCTGCGTTATAAAAAAAAAAAAAAAAAGGGGAAACAGTGCTCCATCCATTTGTGCAGCAGCCGCTCGAAAACGAGACGAAGGAGGAGCAGCGCTGCAGCCATCCCTCAGCCCCAGCCCCCGGGGACGTATGGAATAGCGTCACCCCGGGACTGGGCCTGACAAATAAATGAAACAAAACAAAGAAAACACAAACCAAATAACCCAGACCACTGTAATAATGTGACTAAAACAGAATATTCAAAAAAAAACTGAGCTATGCTAACTGACTTGCTAAATATTGAAATGAATTGATGAATCTAATTTTACTTAATTGCATCTGAAATTAAATCGTTTGTACAACATTACTTATTATATAATTTAAAGCTGGACCATACTTTTACATATAAAGTTTACGGCATATCCTTTGCGTGGAGCGCACAGCTTCAAAGAAGCTCTACCGCTATCCACGAATTAGTTGAATATACCAATAATATAAGTAAAAGCCTCCTCAACGCGAGAAACGGCACATGATATTTTTTACGAAATTTTTCGCGTTTTTAGTACCAAAAGATCCACCGATACAGTGAGAACTGGATCCATACATTACGATACCGCATGCCAGAGTTGGATACGATGGCAGGCCTACGACGGATAACTTTGTGCGGGAATCCTCAACTCGGCGACCAGGGCGCGGCCAAGCTATACGACGTATTGGCGGACGACTTATGGATCAAAGGTAATAATTACTTGTCATCGTCAGCTGATTATGGATTACTTGATAACTGATGGTTGGTGGAAGGCAACGCTCCTGCCTTAGGCTGGGCGCACGTTACAGGTTTTCCCGTATTTGTGCTCATCATACAAACAATACTCAAGAGCTTGCTGCCTGTCCACTGGAGCGTAGCGGAGAAACGGAGAAATATTAACCTATACCATTGCACTAAAACTGTCCACTGAAGAGGAGCGATGATTTTGAACAATCCTATTGGTTAATATTTCTCAGCTCCGCAGCCTCGCTCCGCTCCAATGGCAAGGCAGCATTAATGCTCTTAAGATCCCGGATTAGTATCTTGACAGGAGTATCTATTGTTTGTATGATGAGCACAAATATTTCTTGAAAATAACGATTACTAATTTAACTATGTCTGTTGTTTACTGTATTTGTCTCTCTATATATTCACCAGCTGTGGACTTGCAAAACTGCGGGTTGACTGAACAGAGTGCGGATGTTGCATTGCAAATGATGAACTCCAACACAACTCTGGTCATATTAGACATGAGGAACAATGTCGACATTTGCATTGAATCTCTTTCCAAACTCAGAGCTGCCCTAAGGGGGAATGAAAGACGAGTCGGAGGACAAGTGGTGAGTACCTACTGTAATGTCTGCTCAAAATATTTCTGCGATTCGTGAAAGGTTTGAGATCAAAAAACATCATAGTGTGCGATCGTTCGTAAAGTGTGACCAAGATATTGTGGCGCGTGGACGAGATCGCAAATAATTTTCGGAAGGTATAAATATGCCTTTTGTTTATAGAAGAAAGTGTTAATAACCCTTTTACAATTCCTATTATAAATAATGAAAGGGCTGAAACACAAAATTGTTCTAACAAATCGTTATATGGTATGGTAGGGTAACCAGTTTCTTGTGATTTTTGATTGTGGATAGACGGGTCTCTGCCGTGGATCGTCGTATGGTTATGGTTCGGCCTTAAGAGAAAATTTTAGGTATTTAGTACCTAAACCTCATTTTGCCACTTATCCAGCAGATGGCATAAAAGTGACACTAGATCTTTGTCGCACTGTAATATTTAGTACCTTAGCTAGGGATAGCGGCAGCGTTGCCAGACGTACCAATTTTGGCAGGACGTCCCTATTTTGAAATCAAAATTTAATCTCCTGCGCAGGCAGGCTCAATCCCGCTTTTCGGGAATAACTCGACCGTGCGTGCAGCGTACTGAGAAAGCGCGGGCGGGTGGCACTAACAAGTATGGACTGGCCGCCTGCCCGGCGCGTAATGAAGATAAATATTCAATAACTTTTGATTATATACGTATTTTTTACTTTGTCCCGCTTTTTCACTGAAAAAGTACCTAAATGCGGATGCGGACGCTGGATAGCGGTCACCTGTCTGTGTTAACCAGTCTGGAGACTAGGATTAAACCACTTGTTGTGTTCACTATGTTCACAATTTATCTCAAAATTCTATTGCAGTATTCGTGGCTTGGCAACCTCAGTGGATCATCGAGTGATGGCAGATCGGTTAAATCTGTAGCTTCCAAGTGAGTTGAAGTAATATTATTTAACATCTACTCGTAACATTTCAAGGATATGTTATATAACACAGTTATTACAGTTTCAAGGATATCATATAAATGTTTTTTATTTTATATTATTTTTGGATATTTAATTTCAGAAATGGATTAATAAAAGACCGAAACCCATCCATGAACAAAGGAGTACCAGCAAAATATACGAATAAGATCTCAGCGATTAAAAAAGAAAAGTGCGTATTAAGTGTACCTTTAGATAAGTTGTGTTCCTCTTATTCCTCTACGGAGCCGTTTGTTTCCTGTATTTTACCAACAGTACTAATGAGACGGTCCTTTTTCATTTACCGGTATAATAAAACAATTTGTTTCCCCATTTGTCCTGCTGTGTCGCATGGCACCACTTTGGAATTTTGTAATTGTAGTCCTACAGTATTGCTATTACATTTACGGTTTTATTGTAAAGATATGCATTAATAGAAAAGTATTACTCGTTTTTTTTTTGTGTTGTTGGGTGAAAAGCTTTAAAGGAGAGCCAACATAGACAATTTAGAGGGGTTTTTACCAAAAATCGTAAATATTAGTTTGAAAAAAAAACGAGCGAGCCTTACAGTAGTCGCGTATGATGTGTAACATATGAAACTTCACCTTATATTAGTAAAAAAGAAATAAAACCTACTACAAAAGGAATAAGCCATTTGAACATTATGTTCTAAAATCAAATGAAATAGCGCGCGCTTTCGCGATTTCCTGTTACACACTTCCGTCCCATTTCACGAAATCACTCCCACAAATTACAGGGAAGCGAGAGGAAAGATGTTACACATCAAAAAAAATACTTCGTCGGAGACAAAAATAACTCAAATGGTTCTAAATGGTCTATGCAAGCTTCCCATTAAAGTTCTAAACCCATCTTCCAATCACCCTATATTATTAAAAAGCGAAGTCTTTAACGATAAAGACTTTAAGTTCAATGGGGCGGATAAAGATTTGGGCACGAAAAGCTATGTTAATGATGTAATGTCCTCATAATGTAAGTATAGCAAATTATTATAAACCGGACTGTATACATGCTTTTGAATTGAAACTAAAAGTACCTAACAAATTTATACTTCCTATGAAATAGAGACTACGCTGAAGTTCTGGAAGAACAACTTCAGGAGGAAATATCGCACAGGCAGCAGTTGGAAGAATTGAACCTACAGCTGGTTGATCAGATGAAACAACTCAAACAACATCAGCAACGATTGTGGGCGAATGGAACTCAATCCTCTGGTACCGGAATATGCGATAAATATTTTAGTTTTTATGAACCCATCAACATGGCGAGTTGGTTTCATTTACCTTGCGATATAGTACAATTTATAGATTACTGCATAACCAAAAAAGTGATTAATAAAACTTTAAAGTCCCTTAGAAGTTCAGTGATTTGTTGAGGTTTTTTGATGCCTTTGAATCTTTTGTACAATGTTACGGAACCCTTCGTTTATTAGACTCGGATTTGGTAGATTATTGGAGTGGCGTGTTTGGAATGACGTCAATGTTTTATTTTCCGTGAATGAAAATTTTCATGTTGGTTTCTGCTTTTATCCAGGTTCGGAACAATCGTTCCAAGCTAGTTCCAGGTCCTGCGACTTGTCCAGCAGTTCAGGATCCACGAGCTCAGTACCAATTGACCAGAACACGTTGTCTTATATACAGCAGGCGTTTAAAGACATTTACGCGTTCATCAAAAACAATCAGTGTTACGGGTAAGTTTAATTTTCACGAGTTGAACTTTACCTATTTGTAATTTCCAATCCAAATTCAATGAATGCGCTTGCTTTTCAATGTCGGGAACTACCTAAATGTTTACGGTCCAGGAGTGTGTCCTTTTCCTGTAGGTACTACAAACAGTGACATATAGCGCTTATTGCATAAGTATAAATTGCTCGTAAGTTTTGTGTATTGTTGGTAAGTAGGTAAGTATATTGGATTTTGATTTTCAGTTCAAATAATAATTAAAATCATTGGACATTGTTTTATACAGGCAATGTCTCCACGAAATTGCAAAAGACACACAGGACCAACAACCAGAACACGAGACGACAAATGAAATGACCGTAGTTGAAGAGATGGAAGAATACGATTCGACGGAGCTGCGCATCAACATCGTACCAAAGAAGGCTCAGAGCACACACGTTAAGATGACGGACAATATGAAGATGAACAAACCTACAAAGTCTGCGCATATGCTTGGGGACAAGCAGCGTGCTGAGCGAAACAGAGACAATGTAGAAATGGTAAAGTTACGAATTTTTAATGAGAGGCCTCCATAGTCTATCTATAGACGCTTACGATACAAAAAATATCATTCGCACCGCTGCCTACCCTGACACAATTCCCTACCCCGCGGAGACCAGGAACCTTACTCACCTTAGATTAAAACAAAAAGGGAAGATACGGCACTCGCGGCTCAAAAGTGATCCGCTTAAATTGTGGTGCATGGCATGACCATAATTCGCTTTAGTCACAATTGGACATTCTAACACACTGCATGTGCATTCAATATAACAATATTGCGTTTATTCTTTGATATGAAGATAAAACAGTGGCTTCGATGCATGCATTCTAAATCAAATAACAAATGCCTCGGCAACACTTTTCATTCGTAAAACTGTAAAAACATTTTTTTCTCAAAAATCACGCTTTGTCATGAATGTTATTTACGTAATCGCCATTTTGTAATCAAGAAAAGGATAACAATACGCTGCGTTGATGCATATATATATATCGTCTCGCTCGCTTGATTGAATGTAAATATACAGACCGTGTGCGTGTGTGAGAGTTGCTTATGTTGTTGAGTCGGATCTTATGATAAAATAAGATGCTAGTATGAGCATACCGTATCTACCCTTTTTGTTTTAATCTAAGTTACTCACCGAAAGAAACACAACACCACGAAAAGCCAGTGTTATTATTACTGTGGTCTTCTGTGCGGTTACTTCCCGGTAAAGCCGCTATGCCCTACCTTGATTTGCATCTGATTTTACCTATAGGGGGGTAGGAAGTTTGTATGGGAAACCAATTTTGCCACGCAGACAGAGTCGTGGGCATCCACTAGTAGATATATAATTTTTGATAGAATTGAAGCACAGTTGCGTACCGTTTTTTGAGCGCCACGTTATGTAGAAGTATCATTACACCATATAAACTGATTTTATATTTAGGAAAGTGCCGCTGCCGTCGCCGCGTCGCGAAAATTATTATTTTTGCGAAGGTATTTTCATCTCTTTGAAATACATTAATGCCCAAATAAGATTTTCAAGATATATACATATTTAGATCATTTTTATGAAACTTACTACCTTCATCTACTTATTTTATTTTATAGAAACCAGAAATGTTTGAGCGACAAATGGGAGATACGAGAAATTCACACAGTGACGATCACAGCCTAATAGATGAGGTTATATCAGCGCAAAACAAGCCCAAGAAGAAGAGGAATAACTACGATCACAATATGGTTACTATGTTTTTTTTTAGAAAGCAAAGAAAATTTTATATCATTGCAATATTTTATTAAAAGTCCACCACAAAATCGCAGGTATCGCATGGGACGGCTCCAGTCTACAATAGGTGTAAAAACTCTCCGCTCTTTGCAATTAACGTCAATGGGCCTGCAATATGTGACGTGTATGACGACCTCCGTGGCCGAGTGGTTTTTACGCCGGGTTTCATGGTGTCGCCGACTCGAGAGGTCTCGGGTTCGAATCCCGGTGGGGGCAGATGTTTCTGTGATGAATACGAGCATTTGTTCTCCAGTCATGGATGTTTAATATGTTTTTCTATATACATATACTTATATATGTACAGTATATGTAATCCATGGCCCAATCTCCCTATTCCATCCATAGGTAAGGTGCCCCAGTAGTGGGGCATTAATAGGCTGATGATGATGATGATGATATGTAATCCGTTACCTTAGCATCCCATAACACAAGCGTGACAGTGCTTACTTTGGGGCAAGACTAATTGGAGTGAGTGTTGGAAATATTTTATTTAAATAAATTTTTATATGCCCCGTGGTGGATTTGATCTTCTCTCTCTCTCTATGTGGTTCTGTCCACCACGAATGTCTATACGCCAGTACTTAATAGCATTGGCGTGCCCAGGGGAATAGGATTAAAGACCAAGTAAATTAGATTTTTTTTTAATAATTAATATCACGCAAGCTAGGAACCGATTTAATACTTTCAGGCAATTCTGAAGCTAAAATAGTGAGTCGTCTCGTTGCGCATTTTTTGACTTGCCGAGTTATTTGTTTGATGAAAAGAATATTGATAATTCAGTAAAAAAAATATGATTATCTTATAATTTTTATTATTTTTAAAGCATATAACTGCTTGATGTTTAAATCTAAAGAAAATATAACTAGAAAAAATTCCACGCGGACCAGGCAGCAGACGGGACTCGAACCCGCACCCTTCGCAATCCGGGCGAATGCACTGACCAATTATGCTACCGCGGCCCTCACGGACCGCGTCGAAATTCTTTCTAGCTATTCTTAAGCTGCAAGGCAGCGCCATCTCTTCGCATTATAGGTAAACCCACAATGTCAAATGATGATTATCTTATTCAAAATTAGGATTAATTTCGATTAACTAGCAGTGCAAATGAATTTCATTAGTGCCTTTTCACTTATACGAAGGGACCGCCACTGTCTAATAGGTTGATGATGGCCACACCAATCACACTTTAGGCCTTATTACAAAACATAGACTGAAGTTTAGCTAACTAACTCCAGGTTAACGCGAAATTGATGATGATAGATTTAAAGCAAGTGTTAGAAACAGTTGGTGATGAAAGAATGTCTTCCATTATACAGAATAAATATATTGTATATACTATCTTTATATATATAATTCTTCTGTGAGTGTGTATGTCACTGAACTTCTCTTAAACGACTGGACCGATTTTGATGAAATTTTTTGTGTGTGTTCAAGGGGATCTGAGAATGGATTAGATTCACAATTTTGTCCGCTGGACAACCCCTATTTTTTTAGGGCGGTACGAAGTTTGCTGGGTCAGCTAGTATTAGGATAAAATACAACAGATCATCTCTTCCCACACCCTAGTACTGTTTAAAATTCCATAGAAAACCTATTATTAGCCTTATTATAAGATAGTATAGAAAAAATGTATTTTTGTTACGCTATTGGTTTTCTGAATAAAATAAATAAAGCAAGACTAACTTACGTCTGCATGATGGAATAATGTCCATTGTCGATCAGTGTTTTGGGGAATTATTTGTTGTCAATACAGAGGGTTAATGTATATTGAACTGAACAGAGCGCATACGAGGCGGGCAGCGTGAGCGACTCGTCGGACACTCTGGTGTGCTCGCCGCACGCGCGCCGCGTCCGGCCCGCGCCGGCACCCAACCCGCGCGACGCTCTCTGCTCCTCGGATGACGAAGATAGCTCGTGATTTTTTTATATGCATATATATTTATTAAAAACCATTATAGAATAAAAACGTTTCTTTTAAAATACTGTTTTTTTTCACCTGTTCCATTTATGGCTTGCGTAGACGAGGAACTTTGTCTCTGTCGTTAGAGCACTGTTTGTATTTACATTAAATAATCAGTGCTACCAATTTGCTTTAAAACCCTGTAAATCCTGATTCTATAGAGAAAGATGGAACTGATAGGAAATAAAACAAAAGAAAAATGTTATTTTCCAGGTATACATAAACTAGGTGCCCTGGAATGGACAAGAATTCTGCAAAATTTGGCCACTAGGGGCGCTGTAATCGCTTGACCCAGAACTTCAATCAAATACATACCTATTAGCTCATATTACCACCAAAATTAATATTGCGTTCATATGCCTCAAGTCCGTAAAAAAACCGAATGTTAAACCTCCCATTTAAGCCAGAGGTAACCTAACTCTTATGAGATGTCTGGCTGATGCAAAAATAAGATGGATTTCGAAAGTTACTCAGATCCATTAACTATTAAAATAAGGAAAATGCATCTATGTACTGAGAATGAGCATTCTAGCATAATAATAGAAAGATTACCTTTCCACTAGATCAGCTTTTCTGCCTTGCAGAGATGCTCCTCTCATTTTCAACTCTGTTTTTAGCTATATTACAGACCATGTTGAATACATTTTCACCACATATTTCATATTTTTATCAACAAAAAAAAACACGTTTAACATTTGACAGCAGCAATATTTGGCTGTGGTTTAGGTCAAGATGGCCAAGCAGCAAGTTGCAATAGGGGTTATATAAAGTGGAAATATAATTTTGATATCAAATTTTAATCTAAACATAACTGAAGTACATAATTAATAAACTGATCTAGGTACTATTTCATTTCCACATTTTTCTGTTGCAGCTTTGCAATCATCATTTTTTCTTTGGCTTCTCTCTTGGCTAGTTTCTCAAGCTTCTTCTGTTCCTTCTCTCGCTTCGCTAGCATTTCTTGGAACCTTTCATCACGAGGATCTAATGTGAATCCAAAATGTCTTCTAACTTCTTCAACTAGTCTCTCCTTTTTATTCTGAAAAAATAACAATATTAGCATCTTTAGTAGATATGCTAAAAGAGATTTCTAACTCCAGTCAGTCGAAACTGTTCAACAAGTTCAGGTTACCTTAGCTAATTCTACTTCAGCAGCTTTCTTTGCTATTTTGTCATTTAGTTCTTTCTTCCACTGGGCCAATTTGGCAAACTTAGTCGCAATTTCAATTTCTCGCTGTTCGATCTTATTTTTTTCTTCTAGTCTTTTTTGTGCTGCTGCGTCCATGGCCTCCCTGATAGTGTAGGGAAATGCAATGGATTCATACTCTAGAGTTTCTTGGATATTTTGCTTTGTAGGCCAGCATAAACCTAACAAAAGAAAGTATAGCTTTAAATTATTATATTTATTAGGTACACTATGACTCATTTTATTTTTATTTATTTTATGTAAAATTAAACATACTTGGATTGACTCCACTTTCACTGCCATATTTTCCGTAAAGTTTTCTGTTATACTTGACGGTCAAATGACTTAAATGCTTGGGTGTTTCGTATGGTCGACGTCCATTTATTAGATTAAAATGAGCATTTGATAACCTAGACACATTTCGTTTTTTTTGGATCTCCGCTTCTCTTGCTAAGGTTTCGTCACTATCGTCTACCAAAACTTGATCATTTTGATCAATAACATCAGGTGCAGTAGTGGAATAACGGCATGTAAAGTTGTTAATAATATTAGGCCAAAGTAATCGGGATCTGAGGTATAAACTCATTTTTGTTAGTTAATTTGTACGAGCACCTTGTTTATTTTATAGAACTGGCACCACAATCAAACAAAATCCATGCTTTTGAAAAAAGTCAGACACGGTGTCAAACTCACATCACATGGCTATTCGTATTTGCCATTTGTAAACTTGACAACAGTCTGTCCTTATCATACTTAATGAAATGAAAAGGACAGGCTGAATTAAGTTTCCAATCCAATTAGCAATGGCGTCGATTCTGGCGTGATTCTCTAAACTTTAAACTAAATTTAACATCAGTCTCTCCTTTTTATTCTGTATAGAGAATGACAAGCATACACTGTTGTCAATTTTAAGTTTAGATTTAGAGAATCGTGCCAGAATCGACACCACAAGCTTACTAATAGGGGAATAGCCTGATGAAGTACCGGCATTTTTTTAACAGCAATTTGTTTTGTTTTTAAAGATTTTCCCTTTTTAGGGAAGGCAAAAGGAACAATGCCCATACAGCCTAGTCTTTAGTTATAATAATCTTTTTTCTTACAATAGAATGTCGGTGTGGTGTATCGAATTGGCTTTTTCGATAAGCTTCTGTGAGGTAGTCAACACTACAATAAAGTTCTCACGTCCACTTGACCGGAATAAGAGCGATAAGAGAGAAAAGTAGCAGTCTCTCATCTTCTTTCTCTTTCTATTAGAGGGACCTTTACAACAGTTGATAACTGTGGCTATCTTTAATATCTAGCTTAATTAAATTTAAGACTTTACAAGCGAAATAAAACAAACCCCAAAAAGTTAAATAGTTTACTCGGTTTAAAACAAAGTCATGTTAGTTGGAACACTTAAAACTCAAGAATGGCTGGAGAGAATAAAGATTTAAGGAAAAATCACGAAAAAAAATAATGGAGAAAATCAATTGTATTCCGCCTTCTTCGAGAATTGACAGCTCACGACACAAAAACACATAGCTTATTTGTATACATAATGTAAATCTGTTACTACAATATAGATAAAAGGGTAGTTTTCCAATTATAGAGCATAATGTGACTTAGTGGCGCACAATGCCGAATTATGCTGATGCTTAATTGGAACGTGAATTAGTTTTTAAATGCACCAGCAGAGTGCGCTAAGTTCAGTGTTGAAAAAAAAAGTCAATGTTTGTACCTTCATCCATATTTATATTTAATTTTTTAACACAGTTTGAATTAACTTTGATTATTAAAAAAAAACTATAATGATACGAAAGTTTTAATAATTTTTAAACATTAAATAATATTACTAACGATAACATATAAATAAAACATTTCGAGCAATGCCATCTTAAAGAAAAAACACTTGTTAATTTTCTGTCTCTGAGTTGGTACGATAGCACGCATCACACGAAAGCATAACTTTTGAGAGTGCTCGATTGTGCGAAGCGTTGCTGTAGTTGAAACACTCAACGTTAAGCATTATGCCGCATAATTCGCTATAATGCTGTAATTGGAAAGCTACCACTATGATCACTTTAGAGAGTGATATTGTAATTTAAAGACAAGTTGCAATACTAGCGGATATATTGGTAAGAAGACGATGGACATAACTTCAACACTATACTGAAGTCTCAATATCGCAGTTTTCATTTCATTATAACATAAATTTTAACCAATTTGGTTTAATTTTCCAGAAGTATAGAACTATTCCTAATTTCCTAAGAAATCGTGGGGTACTGGGAGATTAAGGGATGTTTGTGTTTGGAGAATAGTTATTAGGCAAATACATGGCAACCCTGGCAGACAATAAACCCCGTTTTAAATTACGCTGATACACAATAGTATAAGTTATTGAAATTCCATTTTCTCTATAAGAGTATATTATTCTTATAAACCTTATTTAACTATTTTGTATTTGTTTTATTGCGGCTGCAAAATCATTTATTTAATATATATAAATTTATATAACCACATTCATCGACTTTGGGGCGGTACGAAGTTCGCCGGGTCAGCTAGTTAGATATAAAGAAAAGATAGAGAGAGATAGTAAAATTAAATGTTTTAAACGTGAAATTTTCTACCGGAATGGTTCAACTAGTGACGTCAACAATTTTTTTAGATTCCTCGCACCTGGGTGTATTCGAAAATTTCCCATGTGTGATCCGCAATTTTTCTTAGTTTTCGAGTTATTTTTTGTGTATTTTTAATGATTTCTGCCAGCGAGGTTTCAAAAATTCATGAAGAAACTTTAGTTTTTAGTACGATTTACTCAAACATTCAACATCAATTTAAAAATACAAAAAGGAATTTCCATAGCTTCTGTTTAAGTTTAAAAACTCCGCATGCTTCTAAACTACCAAAAATCATAAAAAAAATGTACTTCATCAGCCTATTTTTGTTGTAATTGGCCTTCGAAGACGGATAGGCTAAAAATCATTGAAACACAATTAAAGCATTAAAAATTATTTTATCTACTTTTTTTCATTGTTAAGGTAAAAGGTTGCCTGGAAGAGATCGCCTTAAGTGATAAGGCCGCCTATTGCATCACCTGTACTAAATGTTTTTGTGCAGAATGTTCAATGTTTTTCGTGGTGTTTAATAAAGAGTTTTTGTATTGTATTGTAAATTAAACTTAAACATGTAATTTTTTTTTATTGAAATTCCTGTAAAATAACTTTAGCATGTGGAATTTTATAATAATTTCGGTTTCACCACTAAGATTTAAAATGTGAGCAAGAATTGAGACAAAAACTTACAGAAGCAGAAAGAAAAATAAAGCATATCATATCATACGAGAAATACAAATACAGCTATTTGTATTTCTCGTATTAAAAATACACAAAAAAAATTATAACTCGAAATCTAAGAAAAATCGCGGACATACATGGGGTATTTTCGGATAGCCCCAGATGCGAGAAATCTAAAAAAATATTTGTTGACGTCATTTATTGGATCAGCCTGTATAAATAAAACATTTCGATCAATGCTAACTTCAAGAAACAACAGTGACAGAAAATTAACAAAATTTTCTGTCACTGGTTTTAATTCTAGCATGATTCTCTAAACTTAAAACTAAATTCAACAACATCATCAATTCTTCAGAGAGAATGAGAAGGATACACTATTGTCAATTTTAAGTTTAGGTTTAGAGAATCCTGTCAGAATTTACACTACTGAGTTGGTACGATTGCACGCATCACACGGAAACATTACTTTTGAGAGTGCTCGATTGTGCGAAGCGTTGCTGTAGTTGAAACATTCAACGTTAAGCATTTTGCCGCATAATGCCCTCTAGTGCTGTAATTGGAAAACTACCTGGATTACGTCCAAAGCCGTTAAAATATAAAAAAAACGTCATTTGCATGTCATTTGTCATCAATCACTCGTAGTCTGTGGCCGTCGTTTCATCGTTTGTGGAAATATTGTAAAAAAGAACTCTTCTCTTAATAATGGATGATTTCGGCGATAGTTTTGTTCAACAAGATGGTCAACCGGAGGTTGATCCAGCTGCTGAGTTTTTAGCTCGCGAACAGAATCAATTAGCTGGTCTAGAGGATGACTTAGAAACCAGTGCTCCGCCCCCTGTGCTCTCATCCAATTCAAATGGATTTGATGATTTTGTTGGTAAGATCTCGATCAAGACAAAGTGTCATTAGAAAATAGAAATATGTTACTATTTGTTACTATTGATTATTCTAGAAGTACCTAGTGCAGCAGCATTTGAAGCTAATGGCCTGTTAGACGATGAGCCAACTTCTACCACAGTATTTAAGCAAGAGCGAGAAGAACCAGAGAAAATAAAAATTTGGCGAGAGGAACAAAAGAAAAGATTAGAAGAAAAAGGTTTGGATTTTCTTAGTTTGGCAATACCGTCATTTTAGCTATTAATTACATACCCTCATTATTGAGGTAAAGGAAACAGCCCTTGCTTTGCAATTTATAATGTTAGTATATTAGGTATGTTAGTTAAATCCCCATCACAAGTTTTGATAATTTTTAATTGATAGTTATATAAATAATTTTCAATTGATAAATTAGCTAAATAATTTTCAATTAATAATTATCTAAATAGTTTCAATTGATAATTATCTAAATCATTTTCAATTGAAAATTATCTACATATTTATCCTTTCAAACCCTGATAGTCATGTTTATGATTAATACCTTTTGAAAGTTATTCTATTAAGGCTACAATAGATATTTGAATTTTTGGGAGTTAACTACATATTGTCATACTCCCGACAATATGTTGTTAACTCCCAAAAAATTCAAATATCTATTGTAATGTATTATGAAGAAGAACCAAACAAATTTTGAACCTCTTTCTTTCTTATTTCTTGTATTTGTGTTGGGCATAGATAAGTCGGTCAGTCACCCCTTCTTATTATGTAATAAAGAAGTTTGAATTGTATAAGCCTTATAATTAAAACAGGATTTTTTAACACAGAAACGTTTACCACCTTTTTACATAACATAGGCTAAAACTGATGCTGTCACATTTGTGTACTAAAAAGATGATAGAGAAATTAGGTTTACACAAAGAGTAAAATTTCAGCTCACCTTTCCATTGTATGTAATTGAGTTGCAAGCTGAAATTTTTGTCACGCAAAGTATTAACTATTAAAAACACATACACGAAATCTTTTTTGGCGGAAACGAATAGAACTTGAGAAAAAAATTATTGAAAATTAATATTTTTGTAGGTTATGAGTCAATTTTGACAAAATTTTTTTTTTCGCAATTTTCATGATCAGTGCTGCCATTTTTTTATGCAAAAATAACATGTTTCTCGTTGTCTATGGTAAATATAAGTTTATTATGTTGGTACTATTGTCAAAATGTGACAATTTACCGCCATTAATGAGATCTGTCAGTCAGTGTTTGTGTTTAAACTTGTTTTATTTAAACGGCTAAACTGTATATCTAAGGCCCAAGTGGTGATACTTCACACTAGGTTAGGTTAGGTTAGTGGTGTGACCTTAACGCGCGAGCCGAGCGAGCGTGCCGCGGCAGCGGTCGACGAAGCGCCAGAAAGAAAAATTTGTTAAACTTTTTCTACAGAAAAATCAAATATCACCTCTAGGCGCTGGAAGTACAGATTTACCTTTAAAACTCCTCTAATTTTTTATAATTATCATTTCTGTAAAAAAACGCCGGGAGGGGGGGGGGGTTACCCTTCCCTCTGAGGGGTCTTCCCTAATACCTATCCCCCTGAAATTCCACTACATATAACAGATTTTATGAATTTTTAGGTTAGGTAAAAAAAAAAAAAACTGCATTTCCGCCAAAAATCATTTATGGCGGGGGGGTCGGGGGGAGCCCCCCCTC